TGTTTATGATTTAAGTAATGTCACTGTTGAAAAATCATATTATTTTCTGATAGCTGTTGGGCAGTTACTCTAGTATAGGGAATGCAATCCCGCAAATGCGGGATCCCTCTGAGATTCCGCGGGATCAAAGTTGCGGGATTTACCGTGCGGGATCTGCGGGATCGACACATTACTACTGGGTAATCGAATCGATCTCAGTCAAGATCAAACCGATTCGTTCTGGGCCGATGCGTCGACGCTCGGTACCCGGGGTATTCCCCATACAGCTTGGCCATTAAAAATAAGTGAAACAAACAGGTTAGTTGTTAAATTTCTTTTTCTTTCTGGCGTATGTGCGTAAGTGAAGAAAAACGGTAAACTAGTACTTGTGGACAATTTCGTCAAATAAACTGACGGACATAATTATCGGGACAAGCAAAATTTTAGGGTAAATTTAAAATTTAATATCTCTTGAACTAAAAAAGATTTTGGGATGCGGTTTGGACCAGGTTTTAGATACATCTATTGTGATTAAGATGCTATGTGGTTTTCGAAAATATATTTAGTGAATTCTTGTATACAGGGCGTAGTGTCTTATAAGAGTGTGAAAATTTGGTTAAGAATCTTTTTTCCCGCAAATTTACAATTTTTAAAATATCGAAATTTTTACAAAGTACGACTAATCTGTATTGAAATTACAAAAAACGATTTGATCGGTTTTTTAATTTTTTTTGTTTTAAGGAAAATACGATATTTTTTCGAAAAATATGCATTTTTAGTCATACGTATTGTCCTAAATGGTACAAAAAGCTTTGTACATTCTGCATATACCAAAAAATTCTTGTAATAGAGTGTATCTAAAAACAGATAACTAACACAAGTTAAAAAAAACTTCAACATCAGAATAATATTTTTATTTATAAAATAAGGAGATAAATTATAATAAAATTTAAGTTTATTTTATACTAAATATATTTTTTTAACACTCTGTACACACCGGTCCAAATTTCTGTACAGCTAGTTTAAGATACACGCTATATCAATATATTGTGGGCCTATGCAAAATGTACAATGCCTTTTGTACCATTTAGGACCAAATGCATGACTATTGTTTACAGTCCCGCAATTTTGCGGATCCGCGGGATTGATTGCTTTAATCCCGCGGGTTTGCGGGATTGAGATTTTGGTGCGGGATTGTATTCCCTACTCTAGTAGAGATGGTTTTAAGTTCAGAAGTTGTATCGGCTATAGTTGCTTTGAAGATTGAAGATGATAGAGATCAACACAGCTATGTCAGTCACAGCTTTAGGTGTGCACGAAGTACAGTGCAGCCGCTTTCTTCGAGACAAGTTCATATGCTAGATGTAAGTTATTTACATATGGAAACTTCGAATCGAGACGATCGACTTATTGTAAGTTTATCGTTAACAAACCGCTATTTGCCAGATTTTCAAATTTAGAATGAATTGCACCTAAGGGAATAAAATGTACATGTAAGTAAACGGAGTGTAAGATAAAGATTAAACGAAGCAAATCTTCTGTCAAGAAGGCCTGCTTCGGGACCACAACTTACTAGGTCCGTTGACTATGACCAAAAGCAAAGGCATAGATTTAATGTAAAAATAACAAAAAAAATGTTAGTGTGTTATCTTCAAAAGCGAATATCTCCAACAAAAATAAAGCTATTCAGATGTATCAAAAAACAAACTATCGAGAAAGGATGTGTCTAGATGATAAAATAATTTTTAAATTCCTGTCTTAACGTATTCTAAAGGGTGTTTCAAACTTTCAGTAAAATATCAACATTTTGATTGCCCTCGTATAATTAACAGATGGGAACTTTCATTTTTAATTTAGAAAGAGATACTGGTAAGTCGTATAATTTAGCTACCAATTACTTAAAAATCATCAAAATCGGCCCACTAGAACAAAATCTATTAAACTTTGAAACACATGAAAATTTTAAGGTGCCTGCTATTTTGTTTTTGGGGTCGCCCCACTCTGGCAGTTCTGCGTCTTTGTGTCGGTTTTTTAATCGCGGTGCGATCCCTTTAGACACACATTTATTAAGAATAATTATTAATCTGTAAAACTTAATGGGGTCTAATAAAAAAAATTGAATTTGAATTAACAAATAGTAATTAATTAATAATAATTAATTATTAGATTTTATTAATAAATACTAAAGAAGTAAATTATAATTTTAAGATATGTGGAGAATAATTTTTTTAGGTGATCTAATATTCTTAAAAGTTTTATTTGTTCTAACTTCCACCAACATTCTTCCTCACCACACTCGCCCTGTACAATAAAATAACGTTTACTGGCAACCTTTAGTAAATGTTACTTTCACTAGTGAATGTTAGAAATTACTAGGAAAAGTCGACAAATCTCTTTTATACAAATACCACATTCACTGGTCCAATGCGTAATGTTACCATTTCCTAGTGAATGTTAACAGTCACTGAATTTCTGACTTTCACTGTAACATATATTATACTCGTATATATATTTGTTGTATTAATAATTTAAAAAAATATTAGACATTAAAGCCCACGCGTGCGACTAAATATCTTCTCTTTTATACTGCAGCAGCTTGATAAGACAAATAATAAACAACGTGAATCAAATTTTTAGAGTCGAGGTCAAGTTTACTTTCTTTTCAGATCGTTAATCATGCCTCGTAAAACAAGTATCATTTCACTAAAAAGTAGGCCCAGGCCTCACGTTTTGGCTGAATAATAGATAGATGTTTTTCACCTACATAATTATCGGTTCTTCTTAACACGTTCCGTTTGGTGACCTAAAATCCGATGTTCTAAAATTTAACTCGAACCGGAAATTAAATAAGGTTTAGCGAAAGGATTCATTGTTAAATGTTAATTAAAATATACGAGTTTAGCAAAAATAATGGTATGACGTTCCCTTGCATATTTGATATACGAGTATGCATATTCTTTAGTTGAAAAGATCTATATGTAAATACAATTCAAAATAGAGCATTATATGTTTATAAGGACACGAAGATGTATGATTATGGCATGTAATTATGAATTTATTTGGTTGACCCTTATTACCCCTTGGGTGGAATCACTCTATATCGCGTATGGAGAGATTAGATATTAAAACATAATTCAGAAATATATGTAATAATTTAAAAAATTATTTAATACTGAAAATAAAAATTTAGTTATTTTTTTACTATCTGAACTTCTACTACAAATTTATACAAAACTGCAATAGCTTTTGCATTATATCTGTTATACCTAATCAAAATACGCCCGTTATAATAAAATGTTTGGTCGTTTATAGTACACAATTATAACTCTGAACATCCAAAGAATATTATATCATTGAAATTGGTTTAGCATCTATTTTCGAAAAATGCTAAACTTCCTCATTACATCAATCCGGAATAGGCAACGAATACAACCATTAAAACTATATTTTATGAAATGCCTTTTGCCTCTGGCTGTTAAAAATTTCTAATGTATGTAATTTCTCATAAGAATTGTTAGTTATCACTTGAATGTTAGTTACCCTTGTATATGAATTTATCACATAAAACATACTTGATCTTAAAACTGTTAAAGGATATTATATATCTGGATACTCTTTATTAATATTTACAGTATTTTTAATATATTCCACGGGACATACTGTATAATAAGAAATTTTCCGAATTAATAATATACCGGGTGCGTACCAAATCAAAAGTGGTCCACTATTTTTTTTATTTTTTCAGATAAAAAAAGGGATTTAGTATGTTAGTATTAAATCAGGATTCACGTATTAATTTGTTTTTGGTCACTTCCTGTTTCACCGACTACAACTTTTGATTTTTAAATGGCACTCTCGGTATATTTTTACTTTATTCCATACAAAATGATACTCTGAATAGAGTGACATACCTATATGTCAACTTTTGAAATTTTCGCTTAAAAAATCTTATTTTAAGTTTCAATCTAGAGTGCTATGGCTGTGTTTAAAACACTAATTTTTAATCAAGGAGCACCGGAAAATAGATTTGATCGTCTAATGTTTTTCATGTCTTATCCTAACCGGTTAAAAGATGCCCAAATCGTATTTTAATAATATCTCAATTTTTTCAAATGGAACAAGGGTGGCTCATCAGCATATTTGGAAAAAGCATTTTTTTACGAGTAATTTGGTACCACACACGAGTCAAATTGTCGTTATGAACCAAATTCAAATAAACCATATGCAAAAATGTCAAAATTTGACGTATGAAATGCCATTCTATTCAGAGTGTCCTTTTCTATCGAATAAAGTAGAAATATACCGAGGGTGCCATTTAAAAATCAAAAATTGTAGTCGTTTCCGGTGAAACAGGAAGTGGCCAAAAACAATTGAATAGGTACGTCAATCAATCCTATTTTATGTCATATACTAACATATGCTCTGAAAAAAATAAAAAAATTATAGGGGTGAGCCACTTTTGAGACGCATCCGGTATAGGGGAATAAACCATAACTCACAGCCACCATGTGGATGTGAGTCTACATGGTGGCTACTTAAGTTGACTACTAAAGTTGACATATCATATGTCTTCTATTCAGAGTGTCATTTTCTATTGAATAAAGTAAAAAAAACACCGCAGCAAAGGTGTCATTTAAAAATCAAAGGTTGTAGGCATTTCCGGTGAAAGAGGAAGTCACCAAGAATAACTAAATACGTCAACCAAACCTAATTTATGTCACATACTAACGTACCAAATCTCGTTTTTTTTTATCTGAAATAACAAAAAAGTTATAGGGGTGAGCTACTTTTGAGACGCACGCGGTATATTAAGTTGTCCAATTTAAAATAATTAACATTTGATGCTACAAAAGATTATATATCCGAACTGTACAATTATAAAATCTAATTCACTCGCAAATTAACTTCAGGTTTTATACAAAAAAACGTACTTCAAATACGTTAAACGTATAAATAGTAAATCTCGTATTATATGAGTATAAATCATATTTGAGTATAGATGTTAGCTAGTGTTAACTTACTTGCTTTATATGCTGCCACTTAAACCAAAAAATCGATTAAACAAGTTTAATGTTACTGTTAGATTGACAAATCTCTATAGTAGGTAATGTATATGCATGGAAAACGGAACTGACTATACGCACGGCAGCATTAACTATTACTAAATAACGGATACCATCAGAGCACCTCTTCAGCGGAACTTGCTTACCATCACCATTACCCATTGATAACCCAGAGTTTCTTTTTTTATTTTTCTATTTCTAGGCTATCAAAAAAAAACTGAAAGTACATATTGTCACCTCACACATACACATAAATATACCTTACACACGCAGACCCTCATAATTAATATTTATGTATGACATACTTAAGACAATTTATTGTTTAACAGTTTTCATAAACAGGCTAAACGGTAAACGCGCAAAAAATACGAAAATAATCGAAAATCTATACATATACAGGGTGGCGTCTCTATACGACGCGAATGTTCCACGGAGAACGGTATTTTGTATTGAAATGTAATTTTCAGAGCATAACACAGTAGTTAATTGAAGGTATTTTTAAAAACATGGAGTTATAATTATAGAAAGCATCCCCAAAAAAGTTACGCATCAAAGTTGTTGCTTTTGTAATGGAATACCCTATATATTAATTGATTTTCAAATTCTAGAAAAAAAAAGCGAATTTCATTAAAGAATCACATAACTAAAATCTAAAGCTCTTTACATTTCGTGAAAATGAAAAATACATTTTAAATTTAATCATATATCGTCCTATTGCTACCAAAAGTCACTAACTAACATTTTTCCGAACAACCAAATTCAATCACTAACTATGTTTTGAAGCGGAGAATCGATTGCAAAAGTCATTAACTACGATTTCTGGCTATTTATGTTTTATTTTAATACCGAATAGTTACTAACTATAACATCTTTATGCAATGCAATTCATCTTTAGACGCATTTTTCTCAGAAGTAGTAAAAAGTAAGTTAGTGACATTTGGCAGCAATGGGATGATATTATATCACGAGACCTATAAATTTAATCGATTAAACTATTCAAATATATTTTGCGCGTGATTTTGCTTGGGAAATATATAAATAATAAATATATAATAAAAATTTCGTACAACATTTCGGACGTCTCATAAGTAATGTTTGTGCTTCTGCTACCTTGGTTACGCATCCCAACAATGAATCGACGACCGTTTCGCATGTCAACATATCAAATTCTGACGTATTTTTCTCCACTTATTTGTTCAAAATAATATCGAATAAGGGGTTTTCACCGATTAAAATCGTTATTAAGGTATACACGAGTTGTAAATCAATGTTTTTAAATGAACTGTTGCCAAAATCTCTCAGAATTAGTGATAAACGACAAAAAGAAAACCCAAAAGGAAGCCGAAAAAATAATCGCGGTTAAACTGGTCTTGGGATTTAATCACTTATCTAAACAAAATTTATTCGAAAAATTAGATTAGCTGATTGGTCCATTTCACGATGAGGGAAATAATCAGTATAATAAACATCTATATTATTAAATATATAAAAAAATAATAGATAATATAATAATAGATAGATAAAATCTAGGTAGCTGTAATATACCTTTCGATAATTTAGCAAAAATTACAGTATGTAGAGCATATTCAACGGTAATAAAAAGGTCTACGTTTGAAACATATTTTAATTGTTACAGAATTAAAACTAAATTTAAAAATATAATTATGCGGCAAAAATTAGCTGGATGAAATGAAATGCTCAAAATGCTTCCTTTTCTGTTCACTGGTTTCCTTTTCAAAAGATCTTTTTGTATTAAGAGATATGTGTGGAGTTATACGAGGCATGTTTTTTAAGTAAGTACCGTTTTGCGATTCCGCCGCCGCAGCGCTACGGTCGGCGTTCCGCGCATGGGCGCTGGTTACCTACATCTCTTGTCTATGCACAGACGCCAGTACAGTCTGATTCTTCATTGTATACGTTGTTTATTGAGTGTTTAAGATGCCTCCGACAATCGTGAGCCCCGCCGATTGTGAAGTACGGGCTGTCATACGATTTCTTAGTGCTAAAGGCGTAAAACCGATCGATATTCATCGTGAGATCTGTGAAGTTTACGGACAAACCATTATGAGTGATGGAATGGTAAGGAAAAGGGTGAGAGCATTTAAAGATGGCCGCACAAATGTGCATGATGAAGAACGGAGTGGGCGTCCTTCGGTCGTTAATGAAGATTCGGTGCAGAAAGTGGACAAAGAGGTGAAAGAAAACAGACGCTTTACAATTTCATCATTGTGCGACTACTTTCCTCAATGTTCTCGTAGTGTTTTGTATCGCATTGTGACCGAGAACTTGAATTACCGGAAATTGTGTTCACGTTGGGTTCCGAAAATGTTGATGGATTTGCACAAAACCCAACGTTTAGGCAGTGCATTGACTTTCCTTGAGCAGTACCACAATGAAGGTGAAGATTTTTTAGACAAAATTGTTACTGGTGACGAAACATGGGTGGCCTACGAAACACCAGAATCGAAACAACAGTCCATGGAATGGCGACATTCATCATCACCCAAAACAGTGAAGTTTAAGCAAACAATTTCTGCCCGGAGAATCATGTGCAGTTTTTTGGGACAGAAAAGGAGTATTGCTAGTGGAGTTTCTGCCTCGTAATGAGACAGTCAAGGCAGCATCTTATTGTGAGACATTGAACAATCTGCGCCGTGCAATCCAAAACAAAAGACGTGGCAAGTTGAGTAAGGGTATTGTTTTGCTGCATGATAATGCCCGTCCACATGTGGCTAATCGGACCAAAGATCTCATCAAATCTTTTAAATGGGAAACTCTGATCATCCTCCATACAGCCCTGATCTGGCGCCCAGTGACTACCATTTATTCCTGCACTTGAAGAAACACCTGGGCGGTCAGCATCTTGAAGACGATAACGAAGTCAAAACAGTTGTGATACAGTGGTTAACCAGTCAGGCGGCAGAATTTTATGAGGAGGGTATTGAAAAACTGGTGCCACGTAATGACAAGTGCCTCAATATTCACGGAAATTATGTAGAAAAGTAGATTAAGGTACAAGCTTTCATTTAAAAATAAAATTATTGCGATATCTTTGCACGTTTTTTTTAATTCCAAAACGGTACTTACTTAAAAAACATGCCTCGTACTTCCAAAAGCAGCCAGAACCATTTCTCTCATGTTTTCGACAATAGTTAGTCGAGTTTTGTAAATACTGTCTTTAACAAATAAAAAAACATAAAAAAGTCCAGACAGAATCAGGAGCATTTAAGTATTTTATTAATTGGGGAAAGCACACTGCCAGTTGCCAATTAATAGAATCATATCAATTCTCTCTGATGTAAGATAAGTTTCCATTTTCGGTCTATTTTTTAGATTTTTTTTTGTTTTAACTGACACATAATTATTGTTGTTAAAGTAAAAAATTGTAACTAGTTGTTAAAGTTGAACTAATTTGATACCTATGTTGAAGTAACGTTAGGTATATCACAGTCACTTAGATTTAATCAAATAATAAAGATCTACTTACACTAAATCATAGAAATTAAAATATCTAGGAAAATCTTTATCTGAGGATATAGGCAACTTTAACAGTATTTTGAAGAGACTTGAATTCCCCATTCAAAATATTCGTATAATATACCAGGTGTTCCATTTAAAATAAATGAGTAACTTGCTTTTAAAAGTGACCAATGTTCAATATTAATTTTGTCTCACGTCACGTCAAACTGTATAACTTTTTGGGTTAAATTTTAATTTGGTTTAAAAAAAATACAATAGTTATTTTAACTACATATTAAGCTATACCGGGTAAGTTCCAATTTAGGTAGCTTTTTTTAATTTTTAGAGAATATTAAATATGTCAAACACCTTACTTTTTAGGTATACATGAAACTCATCTTTATTTTTCTCCTAGAATCAGATTATTATTATTAATTATTAAAAACAAAACTTTGATGTAACTTTTTTGTGGACACTGTAGAACTGTCTCTTCAATTCAATACAAACTGTCGTCCTCCTTGGAGTCTCCGCGTCATGTTAAAGGCGCCACCCTGTATACTATACAATATAATCTATCATACATACATTCAATGAGATGGATTAATAAACAATAGTCTAATGAACAGTATTATTTTAAATTAAATTAGAATTTAATTAATCCCGAAAAAACAGAGTAGAGGAAGTAAAGGTATTTTGGAATAGCAGTTAAAAAAATTGCAAAAAATTTAAATGTGGATTATTTTGAATAAAATAAATAGCGTACCTTAGGGAGAGCGCTCATCAAAGCGACGTAGCATATAACGTTGCACATACATGACAACAGCGTTGCATGCTTTTTCAGGAAGCGCACATATAAGTGACGTCGCAGTGGCGTAAACATGTCGTCCTCAGAGGATGAAGATTTGTTAGCAGTTGTAAATCTAATTAATATGAACCAAAATTATCCAAAGCGTTGCTATTTTGAATACACACCTTTTACAAAAAGAGACAAAGGAACAGTGCATTTAGTATTTTTAAGGAATTGAATATCTATCCTGAAAGATTTCAAGCATTTTATAGAATGAAAAAAGAAACCTTTGAGATGTGCTAGTTAGAAAAATTAGTCCGATAATTTTGAAAAGAGATACCAATTGTACACGGGCAATATCACCTGAAGAATAAATCAGAAATTGTGCCCAGATTTCAACACCGTGTGTTGTATTTATTTTCTAGGCTTACCTGTTGCTTTAGTCTCAATCAGTGACACAAAACGTATATTGAAGTCGGATCGTCCTTCATTTTTGCCAAATTCGAGGAACGTGTTAACAGCACGTGGCGAAAAGTAGAACCAGTTCTAGTTTTGAAGCAGTGGCATGGCATGCTACAACAACAAATGATACGTTTCTGACAGCGCTACTTCAGTGTGGGCTGACACACTTATTGTCGTTTGTTCAATTCGACGTAACTTGCTAGATGCATGTTACTTGACAGATTACGTGCCACGTCAGATGCGACGTCACTTTGGTGGGCGCTCTCACTTAGATCTACATATCTCGTATGCCATACAAAAGTTTGGAAGTATTTAAAATAATTTAAATGGATTTTTTCACTCATGAAAAATAAAGTGCAAAAATTCTCTGTCGACGTAACATGCAGGTAATTTGGAATACCACCAAAATAGCAGCAGATATTATGTTGTTTATATTAAAAAGGTAAATAAAACATTGTTAAAAGTATCCAAATATTTATTAAAGGAGAAAATTAGGTAGAATATTTGCAGT